GGGGGCTTTTTGGGGCTTGTGTCATTTACAAATTCTTCACGGGCTAGCCCAAACTTAACCCAGCCCTCACCCTGACTTAACTCTAGCCCCAACCCCAACCCAGCCCTCACCCTGACTTAACTCTAGCCCCAACCCTAACCCAGCCCCCACCCTGACTTAACTCTCGCCCCAACCCTAACCCAGCCCTCACCCTAACATACCTCTAGCCCCAACCCTAACCCAGCCCTCACCCTGACTTAACTCTAGCCCCAACCCTAACCCAGCCCTCACCCTGACTTCACTTTAGCCGCAACCCTAACCCAGCCCTCACCCTGACTTAACTCTAGCCCCAACCCTAACCCAGCCCTCACCCTGACTTAACTCTAGCCCCAACCCTAACCCAGCCCTCACCCTGACTTAACTCTAGCCCCAACCCTAACCCAGCCCTCACCCTCACTTCACTCTAGCCCCAACCCTAACCCAGCCCTCACCCTCACTTCACTCTAGCCCCAACCCTAATCCAGCCCTCAGCCTGACTTAACTCTAGCCCCAACCCTAGCCCAGCCCTCACCCTGACTTAACTCTCGTCCTAATTCTAACCAAGTTCTAGCCCCAGGGGGTCGGCGACCTGCGGCTCGTCAAGGACCGCTTCGTGACGTCATTAAGGAACCACCGTCTCGTGCTCACTCACGTGGCATTGCGCCTCTTGAAATCTTGAGGGATTTGTTTTCGTTTTTTTTGCCGAATTCTAACAAAATTGCCTCTTCTTATTTTAGTTGCCGCCCTCCTTGGGCTCGCCCCCTGCCTCTCTTCTCCGCTCTGATTTCAGTTTCCTCCTCTCCGTCAGCTTTCTTCCTTCATCTCTTCTCGGGTCTCCGCTCTCCAACCCCTGGTGGGCGAGCTTTCTCGTGCGTAGCCCCTGCTACCTCGGAGTCGCCTCCCACTCCACGTCCGACAAATCGCGACTCCATCACAGTTTTAGTATGATTAAAATCGAACTAAAGACCGTTTTTATTTATCCAGACATACGCGGACATATATATATGAGTAATCACATTTTGGACATTTGATCGATGTGGAGAAGTTGCGATCGTCCTCTGGGATGTTGAGATTTCGCTGTCGTGAGAACGTTTTTGCAGTTTGTTCGTGCTCCTTTTGGATTGACGAGATTCATTTTATTTCCTGATATTCATTTTAATTTTCTTGAGAGTTTTGCCATTTCTTGCTCGTAGCTTTGTGCACAGGCGTAGGCTTTGGTGCCTTATATATAATGAACGTGCAACTTTGTGGGATGTAATTGGCATGAATGACGCTATATAAAATTACATTATTTTTTTTATTATTATGCTCATCAAACGTGATTTTATAATTAAGTAGATGTCGCATTTTACATGTAGAACTACAATAGCCAAGGTAAGTTTACAATAAACTACTAGACTAAACATTTTATTTTATTTTACATACTGAGCTGCACAACTGCTTTTCAGAAGCGACCTGGTCACAAATGATAGCTCAACGAAGTGGCTCATCACGTGCAAAATTATATCAGCCACACACTCGAAAGGTGTGAACGTTGATGCTAAATGTGGAGGTAAAACAGCGGAGGACCCGGAGAAAAAGCCACGCGACCACTGGGAGAGAACCACGCAAACTCCAAATATATAGCAGGCGTCCAGGGTGGGGATCGAACCCACGTCCATCCTGTATACAAGGAGAGGTAGTTAACATCTCGCCACCGTGGCACCAATGGAGTGTGTGGCATCGCGCGGTTTATACGGAGTGCTCGTGCCGTCAACGTCTGGTGACTAAGCAGCATTTGGTCCTGGTCAAGCCTGGCTCTGATCATGAAATCAATTAATACAAAAATAAATAAATACACCCCCCCCCCAACACACTCGTCAAGACCACTGCTTGGTCTTCAAAGAAAAAAACGAAAAATGGCATTCATGAAAAATAAGACGAGGTTTGTACCCTTTGTGGCAAATAAAACTGGAGGTGTTGAGGTGTTTGAACACCAAGTCCGCACACCTTTTGCAAGTCATCATGTCTGCATTGACCACACGTACTTTGTGGCAAAACGTGCAAACAGGCGTGCTCTGATAAATGCACAATGTCTGCATTGTTCTTTGACACTGATTGGCCTACACCAGAGACAGCCCCAGTGCTACACCAGAACACGCCAAAGGGCGAACAGCGCAACGGCAGTGCAAGTCCCAGAGCACTTACAGCTCGGGGCGACCACTTGTATCCACGGGACCTTTTTGCCAGTACCAGAAATTGTGAAAAATAAGAATAGGTTTAAACACCTATTTCCCTATTCTTTGGTTCTTTCGGTAAAGTCACGTATAAAGATAAAATAATAAATTAAATAATAGCATACGACGTTTCGATTGCAACACAAGCAATCATCATCAGGTATAATGAAATAGCAATATAACATCTAACCAGAAAACTATAGACAGACATATAAGCAAACAGATATCACCAAGATACATAGAGCAACACAGGTACAGAGAGGGGGGATCGTCTCTGTGGGGTGGCCTTAAATAGACAGAGGGGGGCGGAGGCAGAGAGGGTAACCCCCACATTTTTTATACTGGCAAAAAAAGGTCCCATAGATAAAACACACTTATAGTTGACGTTTCGGACAATGGCCCTTCTTAAAAACAAATGACTGCCGATGAAGACCCAGAGGGTCGAAACCGGCCCAGCGTGGTGCTTGCGTAATCAAACGCTGCCTGCTGCTTCGTGACAATGTTTGGAAAGGCGTCACCAAACTGGTAAACACATCAAACGCATGTTGTCTTCGTCTTCTTGGTTCTTTCGGTAAAGTCACGTAGAATGGAAATAATACAATAATAAAAATAAAATAATAACATTATTTAAAACATAAAAAAAATATTTTCTTATTTTCTTATTTTTTTATTTCCATTCTACGTGACTTTACCGAAAGAACCAAGAAGATTAATCCCTGCAGTCACGAAAGCTTTAAATCGAAAGCATGTTGTGTTGTTTGTGTTTAGAGACGCAGAATGGAGTTGGGGGAGGAGGGGTGACCCAGTGACCCCCGTGAGTTATCTCTCAATTAGGGGGACCCCTCTCTGTGCGTCCAGCGGTTGGATACTGGGGGCTGGTCCTGGGCCTCGCGCCAAGATCCGTGGTGTCAGAGTGACCTCTAGCGGCCAGAGCGGTAGTATGACGAACGCGTAACACCCAACACGATTCGTGAATTTAAACCATCCTCCTCCCCACCTCTTCCCAAACACGACGGCCCGTGTCTTCACCAACCATCTTCACCCTGCGCATCTCGAGCGACGTAGTGTCTGTCGTCAGTTTGTTTTTGGCCGAACCAATAATCGCATGGGGAAAATAAATCGGTGAAAAAAAAACGGTCTCGAGCAATAAGCGTACAATGATTACCTTTCTTGCCAGGTAAGGACTACTGAGCTAGTTCATTCTCTCAGATGTGATCTGACCACAAACGATAACTCGACGAAGTGGCTTGTCGTGTGGAAATTGATAGCAGCCACATACGCACGTTTCTAAATGTGCTGGGAAAAAAACCGGAGGTCTCGGAGAAAAGTCCACGCGACCACGGGGAGAGACACCACAAACTCAAAATAAACCGGTGTCAGGGTCGGGATCCTATTCACGTCCTCTTGTAAACCAGGCGAGGTAGTTAACGTCTCGCCACGTGTTCGTCCGTCCCTCCAGCCAGCCAGCAAATCTTTTTTTATTATTCTGAGAGCATTACACGAAGGGAACTACCACGGAATCTCTATTTATACCGGAGAAATCCGATGCGCAATGAAGCTCTTTTTCGGACGTTGAAACAACGGTGCAAGTTTCTGGCGCAGTGACGCTGTGTGCTGACGTCATGCATCCTCCCCTTGCGCCCCCCCCCCAGTGACCCCCCACCAGATTGAGATGTCTTGCGAGGCCAGCATATCACGGTTTGGTTCCGGCTTGTCAAAAGCCAGTGGGAAAAGAATACCACCCGTGCCACGAATGGGCCCGCGCTGGTTCGGCTCGGATGTGCCAGTGGGAAAGGGGCCACGACGTTCCACTACAGAGAAGTGCACATTGGTCAAGAGTCCAGCATCTTTCAACTATTTATTTTATTTTACCAGGTAACGCCCACTGAGCTATGTAGCTCTTTTTCAGAAGCGACCTGGCCACAAATGATAGCTCAAGTGGCTTATCACGTGGAAATGTATAGCAGCCAAATGTTTCTTAATGTGGCGGGGGAAAAAACCGGGAGGACCCGAAGAAAAATCCACGCGACCACGGGGAGAGACACGCAAACTCCAAATATGCAGCAGGCGTCAGGGTAGGACTCGACCCCATGGCCTCCTGTATACCAGTCGAGGTAGTTAACATCTCGTCACCAAAGCACCCTTCTTACGCCACCGAAATCCAGCATCCAATGAACACGCGGGATGGATAAGCAATACCATCGTAGTGAGCACAGTACACACAACACACCAGCGTACACACACGTGCCACAGGTGGACACACCTCAACGCCACGGTATAGACGACAGGGAATAGCGCAGAACACGCAAGCACACGCAAAACCAATGTGTATGCTTCGGAGCCGTCCATAAATGACGTCACGCGATTTTGAAGATTTTTGACCCCCCCCCCCCTCGTCACACGGCGTCACAAGTCAGACCCCCCTCAAATATGACGTCACAAAGCTCTGCCCCCCCCCCCAAATAAAACATGCTTCAAATCGCTTTAAACTATTGTCATTGTAGGAGAAAATATTTATTAAAACGTCTATTTGATTAAGTAGAACGTGTTGTCTATATTTAAAGTTGCGCATTTTGATGTGACGTCACATTTCTCAACCCCCCCCCTCCTCGTCACACATCGTCACAAATGTCTGACCCCCCCCCCCCCAGGTGCGTGACGTAATTTATGGACGGCCCTTTACCACTGTACGTGACATAACACCCGATTAGCACGGTTGGCTACTACGTACGGCGCGAAAGTTCAACACACACAACATGCCAGACATATGTGCAGTCCTTTTTATTTACAAGTATTGCGTACACAAATACATTTCAATTACAAATAGTAAATAATAATAATGACATTACACAAAATGTTACTAAAAGTGGCTGTACATGCAACAATCAAAAAACGGAGGCTGCAAAAGCAGTGAAAGGGTGGAGGAGGGGGTTCTGATTTGGGTCGCAGTGAACTGTACACGATGGAGAGTTGGGGGAGGTGGTGTGCACCGGTAAGGGGGGCAGGGGGGGGCAGCGGGGGGCAGCACGTGTTGACTCGGCGATTGCAAATGCGCGACTGCCTCTCGAAGGTCACGTGACTCCGACACGTTACCCGCGCGGCTCCCCCCCCCCCCCCCGCCATGCCTCACGGTTCAGAATCAAGAATCTTTATTTCGACCGGAGGAATCCGATGCGTTACCAAGCTTCTTTTCACAGATGTCCGGATACGGGGGGACGGGGGCTCCCAGCGGATCTGCTAACATGAAGCAAGGATGGGGTGGCGGATGGGGTGTGGGGGGGGGTCTGTTCACAGCTGTGGGAGTAAAAACGGGGCTGGAGCGAGGGTAATTTATTAAATAAGTTACGTAAATAAAAACAAATAAAACGGCGAGCCATTTGGACTAGTGCGGAACACAGCTACTAACGGACAGACGTGACGACTTTGAAGGGAAACACGAGCAGGGGAGGAGGGTCGGGAGGGGAAGTAAAACAAACGAGGGCAGCATCGCACGGGGCAGCAGGCAGAGCACGAGGGCAGAGCTGGGAGGCAGAAGGAGCGATCGGAGGGGCAGGGATCAGAGGGGCAGGGGGGAGGAATCGATGGGGCAGGGGGCAGGGATTAGATAGGGGGGAGTGATCAGAGGGGCAGGGATTATAGGGATGGGGGGAGTGATCAGAGGGACAGGGAGCAGGGGTTATAGGGATAGGGGTGAGTGATCAGAAGGGCAGGGTAAGTGATCAGAAGGGCAGGGGGAGTGATTAGAGGGGCAGGAGGAGTGATCAGAAGGGCAGGGGGAGTGATCAGAAGGGCAGGGGGGAGGGGTCAGAGGGGCAAAGGTGAGTGATCAGAAGGGCAGGGGGAGTGATCGGAGGGATAGGGGTGAGTGATCAGAAGGGCAGGGTAAGTGATCAGAAGGGCAGGGGGAGTGATTAGAGGGGCAGGAGGAGTGATCAGAAGGGCAGGGGGAGTGATCAGATGGGCAGGGGAGAGTGATCTGAGGGGAGGGGGCATGATAGAGCGGTGGGTGCACTCCCTGGTTACATTTATAAAAACCATCAGAGCACAGGGGTTTTATTCATAATCAATTGTCACGTGATGTAACTAACGCTTGTCCCCTCGTCACAACGATAACCAAGTCTACTTGGGCTACATGAAAAACCACCGCCTTGGACTACAGCTACACCACACGACAGCTACGGCTTCGCCACTATAGTGGGTCCTCTTGAACACAGCGATTTGGAAAGTCATAATAAAAAAGAAAGAAAGCTATTTACACTGCATAGAAAGCACTGCAGGTCTAGAGCACTACTGTGACTGCTGGAGAAGCATCGTACAGACAGAAGGAGCTGCAGAGGCTCGCACCCTGCTCGACGTGGCAGCCTACGCCACTGGGGGCTCTGCACGGCCTCACTCTCAACACCAGACGGGAAAACAAAACGGCGTAATACACCTGTGAAGGACATACACACGATCACTAAGCACCCTCCGCTTGGATACTCCAACGTACGCCGCCACAACGCCAAACAGGCCCGCCCCAATCCGCTGTTGGTCTCGGTCCACTCCCCGAGGGGCGAGGAGGAGGAGGAGGTGGGGCTGACGCCTCGTCATCACGTGCGTGCGCAGAGGTTCAGGGGGCCCGGTCACCTCTTCAGGCCTTGGCCCCGATAGAGCGCGGGACCAAACTGTGAAGCGCACACACGAGCACGCATGCACACGCACGCACACGCACGCACACACACGCACGCACACGCACGCACACGCACGCACACACACGCACACACACGCACACACACGCACACACATGCACGCGCGCACGCACACGCGCGCACGCACACGCGCGCACGCACACGCACGCACACACACGCGCACACACGCACGCGCACGCACACGCGCGCACGCACACGCGCGCACGCACACGCGCGCACACCCGCACACGCACGCACACACACACACACACACGCACACACACGCGCACGCACACGCACGCACACACACGCACGCACACGCACGCACGCACACGCACGCACACACACGCGCGCACGCACACGCGCGCACACCCGCACACACGCGCGCACACGCACACACACACGCACGCACACACACGCACGCACACACACGCACGCACACACACGCACGCACGCACACACACACGCGCGCACACGCAAGCAGGCGAGGCACGTAACACGGGTAATGTTTAACGTTTGTCGAGTCTAACCGGGTTCAGTAATCGCTCTGCTATCGCCACTATCGTGGTTAGTCAGCGTCCGCGTAAACTTCACTCAGATTCCCTCCTCCCGTGCTGAAAACTCGGTCTACAAGGCAGTCTCGTCTCATCTGTCACGCTCAACCACCATTGGAACACTGCAGATCACAAGACTTCTGTGCAAATCAGCACATTCGTTAGCTTGGTTAAAGTACTTTTAAAAAATCCGTAACAAAATAAAAAAGTTTGGGAAAAAATTACGCCGAGTTAAGCTAAACATTTATAGTTTGGTAATGCAGGTTCGGGCCCGTCACTCCGGTTAAACGAAGCAACACTAGGCAACACAGGAGCATGTTGACAACATGATGCGTGGTATGAGGATAGAGGCAGGAGATGTATGGTACAGGGAGAGAGGGGATGTGTGGTACAGGGAGAGAGGGGATGTGTGGTACGCTGTATAGAGGCGATCCGTTTCGCATGACTCACCACGCTCAAAACGACCAGTAGTGGGAGGAAGGCCTACTTGCCGTGGTGGTCAAAGGGAATGCTCGTCTGTGGCGAGAGCACGGAGACACGGGGAGGAGTCGCGCGTGAGAGGGCGTTTAACCGAGGCCTTCACACTCACACGGCAACCAACGTGGCCGGAAGCACAGGGACATCAGCGGTGGACAGCGTGCTTACCGTGTTCGAGGGTGCGGGCACGCGAATGTGAGTAAACGCGAGTGTGAGTGAACGCAAGCACGTGTGAACGCGAGTGTGAGTGAACGTGAGCGCCAGTGCCAGTTGACGCGAGTTTGAGTGACCGCGAGTGAACGTCAGTGTGAATTAATGTGAGTGAATGCGAGCGCGAGCAAATATGCGGGTTTGCGTGACATAACGTGGGAGTGAACTTCGCTCATTTACCCAGGACATCCTTATTGAGTCCAAAAGACTCAAGAGTGGCCTGCCAGATTTTCACAGGAGTAGCAGTAGTAGTCGGGGATGACGACTGCTCTGCATTTTAAGCAACTTGCGGGCAACCTTGTCAAACACAGGCAACGGCGCCTGCACAAAACTGGCCTCCGGTACGGGCCGTCAGCTGCAACAGCGCGTACCGTACGGTCATCGCACCCTCGCAGTACTCACCAATGACATAACGACGTTGAGTCGCGAGTGAACACGTCGAGCATACGTGTCCAAGCTGGTGTGCGAGCGAGTGAATGACGTTGCGAGCGGACGAGGTTGCGAGCGGACGACGTTCCAAGTGGACGACATTGCGAGTGAATGTACGAGTGGACAACATTGTGAGTGGACAACGTTGCAAGTGGACGGGAGTGAACGTTGCGAGTGAACGTACGTGTGGACAACGCTGCGAGTGAATGTACGAGGGCACAACGTCGCGAGCGAACACGAGCGTGGCCTCCCCACCTGTGAGGTGGACATGCGCGTCATCTCGGGCCGAGCGGTGAGGTCGGACGAGGATACGTTGGCAGGGGCCCCACGGTGAAGCCTCATGCACACGCGGCGCTCGCGCTCCGTCCGCGATAGCGGCCGCGGGGATGTGTTCGCTACGGGGGGGGGGGTGGGGGGGGACGCATAGCACCGATTTTACGATGTCACGGGACAACCCGACGCATGGCGGCGACGGCAAACGAGATCGTGCGGCGTCCGTACCGTGAGAAATTATACCGCGGCAAACTGGCTCTCTACACACCGCCACCTTAGCCAAGTCACCACGCACGCATTCACCACCCCCCCACCACAGTCAGAATCAAAATCCGATGAGCTATGAAGCTCTTTTCACAGATGTCCAGTTGTCACCACCCGTTCCTCACATTCACTCAACACGCACGCATTCACCACCTACTTGCCGACTCACGATCGATTTGACTCGCCTGACTCCATTTACAGATACTCCCCTACCCACTCAACACACTCATCACTCCCAATCAGCCACGTGTCACCATGTCCGTGTCCAAATGCCATTATCTACAAGTGCCATTGTGTGCAAATGGCCCCATGTCCCCATATATCTGTGTCCGTGTCCCCGGGTCTCTATGTTTCCATATTTCAATGTCCCCATGTGTCCCTATTTTGTCCATGTACCTATGCGCCAACACCATCGTGTTCACATTCCCCCTCCCACATATCTGTGTCTCCATGTCTCCCGTGTCCCCGTGCCTCCCTCGTAACCACGGTGGCCCCCCCGTGCACCTCGTGACCCCCCGACCCCCGTGTGTCCATGCCACCCGTGCTCCTCGCCGTGCTCCCCCCCGTGGCCCCTCACGCACTCGTCTGTGGCCCCGGCGACACGGGCGTCACGGCGTCCTGGGTGCTGCGGCCACGCGGGCCGGGCGCGCTGGGCGCCGCCCTCGCGGGCACCGCGCGCTGCATGCGCTCCTCGCGCTCCCGCTCACGGCGCTCGCGCTCCGCCTCCTCGTGGCTGCGGCCCCCACCCTGCAGCAGCACAGCGGAGACGGTAACGCAGGCTTCTCACACGAACTTGACTCACACCCGGGTGCGCAGACAGTTCCACTACCCGTTCCACACCCGTTCCACACCCATTCCACACCCGTTCCCGCACCCGTTCCACACCCGTTCCACACCCGTTCCACACCCGTTCCACACCCGTTCCACACTGGTTCTGCACTCGTTCCACACTCGTTCCACACCCGTTCCACACCCGTTCCACACTGGTTCAACACTGTTTAGAAATCATTTCCACTAATTTCCCACAAATTACTGTTTTACTGTTGGAACTTCACCATTAAATGTAAAAAATGTTGCGCATAAACAACGAACATTATTAAACCACAATAGATATAAATCATTAAAAAAATGTAATACAAGAACACATTACACACAAAGTGCTTGCCACAAATGAACCACAATACCTTGCTGATCTCGTCAAGGAACATAAACCATCCCGCAAACTCTGGTCATCCTCGCAGCGGCTTTTGAGAAAACCATCGAACACAGACGGGCACCGCATCTCGTGCTTTCAGGTGTGCTTCTATGGCTGTCTAGAACGCTCTTCCTTCCGATATTAGAAAGCCACTGCAGCCGTGCACTTTCAAATCATCTCGATTGAAAACGAATTTCTTGAGAACTGCTCTTTGTGTTTTAGTTTTGTTGTCCTTCCCCCGCACCTCCGATTAGCAATGTTGGCTACGTACGGTGGCGAAAGAAGATCAACATACAGAGTGGCACCGTAGTCCACATGCTAACAAAAGTGAAATCACCCAATGCCACGTACTTGGGCAAAGTGATGTTATTGAGCGTCTAAAGTACAAGGAGGCGTCTGCTCGCCGGCGAGCGAGTGACTGGAGGAACCAATCGGTGAGCGCCGTCTCGTCAACCACTGCGGTGCGCGCTGCGGCGCAGCCGGGTTGAGACGCGCGCAACCGTGCGTGCACTCACAAACTTGAGCATGTTCCAGTCGAACACGTAGTCGTAGGAGAAGCCCTGCCGGTGGAAGAGGTTGCGGAAGAGCTGCCGCAGGTACGAGTAGTCGGGCTTGTCGTCGAATCGCAGCGAGCGGCAGAAGTTGAGGTACGTCGCAAACTCGGCTGCGGGGACGGCGGGGGGCAGGTGGGCATGGGGCGGCACAGTCACACGCAGCTCAACGCGGGAGCAGGGGGGGGATGGCACACAGTCACACGCAGCTCGACGAGGGAGCAGGGGGGGGGGATGGCACACAGTCACACGCAGCTCAACGCGGGAGCAGGGGGGGGATGGCACACAGTCACACGCAGCTCAACGCGGGAGCAGGGGGGGGATGGCACACAGTCACACGCAGCTCGACGCGGGAGCAGGGGGGGGACGGCACACAGTCACACGCAGCTCGACGCGGGAGCAGGGGGGGGAAGGCACACAGTCACACGCAGCTCGACGCGGGAGCAGGGGGGGGAAGGCACACAGTCACACGTAGCTCGACGCGGGAGCAGGGGGGGGACGGCACACAGTCACACGCAGCTCGACGCGGGAGCAGGGGGGGGGGGACGGCACACAGTCACACGCAGCTCGACGCGGGAGCAGGGGGGGGAAGGCACACAGTCACACGCAGCTCGACGCGGGAGCAGGGGGGGGGATGGCACACAGTCACACGCAGCTCAACGCGGGAGCAGGGGGGGGATGGCACACAGTCACACGCAGCTCGACGCGGGAGCAGGGGGGGGGACGGCACACAGTCACACGCAGCTCGACGCGGGAGCAGGGGGGGGGAATGGCACACAGTCACACGCAGCTCGACGCGGGAGCAGGGGGGGGAAGGCACACAGTCACACGCAGCTCGACGCGGGAGCAGGGGGGGGGACAGCACACAGTCACACGCAGCTCGATGCGGGAGCAGGGGGGGGGATGGCACACAGTCACACGCAGCCCGACGCGGGAGCAGGGGGGGGAAGGCACACAGTCACACGCAGCTCGACGCGGGAGCAGGGGGGGGCGGAACACAGTCACGCAGCTCCGCGTGCAGGAGTGGAGGGGGGGCAACCGTGGCGCAACTAGGGCTAGGGTAACACGAGGTGTGTAACGATGCATCACAGCTTCATCGGGTAAGCGTCAATTCTCATGGTCACAATACGCGCATCGGGCTGTTTAATGGATTTAGTTATTTACATCTGCCGCCAATACGGATTTCGCATTCGCCACGTTGCAATATTGTAATTGATTCTGTTTTGAATAATGACCAATCATTGAATGAATAATTGTCACATGCCTATTGTCCACTATCTTTTATCATTGGGTTTAATCTTTCACAGGTCTAATTCACGAAATGTTTGAACTTAATTACTTTGATAAATTTCGATTTAAAGCTTTCGTGACTGCAGGGATTCATCTTCTTGGTTTGTTTCGGTAAAGTCACGTAGAAGGGAAGTAATAAAATAATAAAAATGTTTTCTTTTTATTATTTTATTACTTCCCTTCTACTTTGATAAAAGCAAAGGTCAAGGCTCAACAGGTATACTGAGATTTGGAGGTATCTGTTAGACACACAACTGGACAACAGAGCAGTGTGTGTATCGATGATAGCTTTTGAAGTCCTTTTATATTTTAAAGTTCTGCTGGATGGCTAGAACGCGCGGGCAAGTGCACGGTGGTGACATCACGCTCCCCCCACCAACCACCCTCCACCCTGGGCCGTGTATCCAATTCACATGCGTGGGCAATGTTGGTCTAATTTAAAACAAAGAACAGTCAACCCCTCCGCTTTCAACCATGAGAAAGATCAAACGTAGCGGTGTTTACATCTGCATGTAAACCGCGCATGTAAAAATGTGCGTTTTAATCGCAGAGGCACTTAGCAAAACACCACCGCCACCACCGGAACCACCGCCACCACCACAACAGCCGCCGCCGTCGCAACAGCCACAGCCACGGTCAGCACCGTCGCCACCGCGGCGGAACCACGGCAGCGCGTCACTCACAGGGGTATCCCTTGCAGAGCACCTCGATGGGCGTGGACATCTTCTTCTCGCTGATGCGCTCGTACTTTTGGCGCTTGGTGGCCGCCTTGAGGCCCTGCCAGGGCAGCGAGCCCAGGTTGAAGTACATGAGCACGTAGCCCAGGGACTCCAGGTCGTCCCGCCGGCTCTGCTCTGTGGCGCAAAAGGGAAGGGCCCTCACCTGAGGATGGCTACTTGTGTTGTGGCCGAAACGTCGTGAGAATTGTATTATCTTTTATTTTTATTATTTCCCTTCTACGTGACTTTACCGAAAGATCCAAAAATATGAATCCCTGCAGTCACGAAAGCTTTAAATCGAAATGTTGATGGCTGATGGAGGTGGAGTGTCGTACCTGTGACGATGTGAGTGTTGATGTATGATGTCGTTGTTGTACCTATGACCAGTTGAGTGTTGATGGAAACTGGAGGGGTAGCGTTGTACCTATGACCAGGTGAGTGTTGACAGATGGATGTCGATGCCGTACCTATGCCGAGGTGGGTGTTGATGGAGGCGTAGCGCGCCGTGCCCGTCAGGTTCTTGTTCTCGCGGTAGGGAATGTGCTGGTGCGTGCGCGCGTCGCGGTACTTCTTGGCCAGGCCGAAGTCGATGATGTAAACGAGGTTCCCCTTCTTGCCCAGCCCCATGAGGAAGTTGTCGGGTTTGATGTCGCGGTGGATGAAGTTCTTCGAGTGGATGTACTCGATGCGACTGATCTGCTCGCGCACAGTAACGAATGGAACTTGCTCAGTGTGCGCCAAGGACCGCGACAGCGTCAGGGAGGGGGCAACGGGCCCCAGTGGATGCGGTGGACACGGTGAGGGGTTTGGACGGAGATGTTAACTCCCTCGCCTGGTATGCAGGCAGTTGTGGGTTCGATCCCTACCCTGACGCCTGTATATTTCGAGTTTGCGTGTTTCTCTCCCCGTGGTCGCGTGGATGTTGCCTCTCGGTCCTCTGGGTTTTTCCCTCCACATTTAGAATCAACGTCCGTTCAGAGTATTTGGTGGCTGCTATAAATGTCCCACGTAATAATAAGCCGCTTCGTGATAGCCTGGTCGCTTCTGAAAAAGAGCTACACATATCTCAGTGGGCCTTACGTCGTCAAAAACAAGTCTAGTTTAGTTTTAACGGTGGGGAGCCCCTGTGAGTGAGAGAGGCACCCACCATCTGGTCGGCGAGCAGCAGCACAGTCTTGAGGCTGAACTTGCGGGAGCAGAAGTTGAAGAGGTCCTCCAGGCTGGGCCCCAGCAGCTCCATCACCATCACGTTGTAGTCGCCCTCCGCACCGCACCACTTGATAGTGGGGATTCCCACTGTGACACACACACACACAAAGTCAACGACACCCTGTTTTTAGTCTTCAAGACTGTTGGAGAACATGCTGTTAGCGAGCACCCATTAAGGCCAGAATGGTATGACCAAAATCACACATCACAACCGGGGCGCTTTTTTCTCCCAAGAGCAGATGTTTACACACCACATTGGGTACTCATTTGAGGCCGAGTTGGTTTTAGGGATGTGTCCGAACCGATGCTGGACCACTTGTAACTGATGTCAACCGTGGCTAGAAATGAAACCACGTCGCCAGGTTCACAGTGCAGTGCATCAACCACTGCACCACGATTCCAGCGCGTACACAAATAAAAAATATGCCCAGTAAAGCCTCAACACCTATGGAGGCTGGAACGGCACACAAAGGAGGTGGGTGGCCATCACCACACCTGGTCGCTTTTTTCTCCCGAGTGGTGATGTTTACACACCACAGCAGGTACTCAATTTAGGCCGAGTTGACCTAGGGGAAGCCCAGGACCGGTCAGTAAAATCGTCACTGATGTTGGCCGTGAGCGGTAATCGAACTTGGGCCACCGGTCTCATAGCGCAGCGTGCTAACCACTACGCCACTGGTCCCCCACGAGCACACGCACACACAAGCACAAGCGCGCACGCACGCACACACACACACACAAAGACACGGACGCAACGGATAGACAGGCAGTGCAAGCTCGTGGGCGACCAGTGTCGGGTTCAGTTGACCGGTGCAACACGCATGACCCGTGCGTTGGTAAGTTACACGTTCCTCCTGTGTGTGCTACACAGGGCAGGAGGGCCTAGGTATCGAGTTGGGGCCTTGCGTTGGTAAGTGCACGATCCTCCTGTGTGCTGCATAGAGCAAGACGCCCTGCGCTGCTGATGCGAGGCAGGGAGGCAGCCGCACAGCTGCGAGGATTGACGGGAGTTTGAAAAGGAGCCCAGCCTCAAATGCCATCAGCCCCCGCAGTGACGGGGTAGGTAGGGGGGTAGGGGGGTTGGGGGGATAGGGGGTGAGGGGTGGGGTGGGTGGGGTGGGTGGTCTGAAGGAGGCAGAGCACCCCCCTCCCTTATTGAATTCTTACTCAACATTTGTTAAAAACAACGGTGTTGTGTCCCAGTTGCGTTTTAGTATTCCTACAGCCTGTCAGCAACAAGGTCACGCTGCAGCGCAGGATGTCATAATCCAATCCGCGGCACCGAGGCCTTTTGTGTTAAAGCGCGACTGCCAGGTGGAGATTCCTGTCGCGTTGCCCAACAGAGACCACTGGGGACGGATGCAGAGTGGATGGGTGTGGAGGGGGTGGAGAGTAGTGGGGTGGTGATGGGAGGGGAGCGGAGGAGAGTGGAGCGGTGCAAGGGTTGTGGGCAGATGCGAGGGTGTGGGTAGCATAGTGCAACGGTTAGCGCGCTGCGCTATGAACCCGGAAAAGTCAACACCAGTGACGATTATCTGAATTGGTCCTGGGCCTCCCCTAGGTTGCCTCGGCCTCAAACGAATACCTGGTGCGATTTGCAAACATCACCATTGGGGAGTGAAAGGCAGTTCGGTGTGGTGCTGGCCACCAACCCCTTCGTGTGCCATGCCGGTTTTCAAAGGTGCTCGCTAACAGCACTCGCCCCAACAGTATATTAAGGCTACACGGGGATATTCGTCTTTGTGGGTGGTGTACCTCCACCCTGCATCATCTTGTAGAACTTGCTCTCGATGTGCAGCTGCGGGTGCTTGGTTTTCACGCACTCCAGCTTGATGGCCACCTCCTCCCCCGTGGCGATGTTGGTCCCTGCGAACAAGGAGGAGAGGAGACCAGCCCGCGCGCCAGTTACCGGCGAGCGTCCGCACACGCCACCCGCCAGGCACGCAGCAAAAGCGTGCGGCCAGTGACAGACCGGTCCACTGGCCCTCAGAATCGGCCCAGACATTTGTAAACACAACGGGGCTCAAATTCGGGCTATGGACAAATGTTTTTTTATTGGGTTGTGCGACAAACTGTGGACTCGTAGCTAGATGTGGGATGTGACGACGTATTAGCGTGATTTTGCCGTGCGATCTCATTAGCTGATTGGGGCTGGCCCAAAAAACAAATGGGCCGGTGAGGAAGAATATTTGTAGCTGCCAAATATGGGATTTAATGCCAACTGAGAGCATAAATAAGTAATGAAGCGTACACATTAGAGGTAATAACATATTTTTTTTTTATTCTAATCACATTTGCCATTTCGCCACACAGAGCGGTCCACCGGCCCTCAGAATGGACCAGCCCACCGGGCAGTTGCCCGGACTGCTGCCCTATGGCCAGTCCGAGCGTACACGCGGCCACCGCCGACTCAACACGGGAATGTGGGACACGGCAAACTCCTCCACCCTCTCCACAACCACGCCGGTGCTCGGGGAGACGTGATGGGGTGGAGTGTTCGAACACACAGTGGGAATGACAGTAACCGTTAATCAATAATAATAAATTGTGATTGTTTACCCATTCAGACTCACTCGTTTTTCAGTCGTGTTTTTTTCGCGCTCGGGAGCAATGTTGCTGCTGTGTGCAATCCCAATTGTGTAATTTAACAGGTACAATTTCAGCATTAGCGATGTCATGCGGCCAACACTAGTTACAGCGTATGTAGTTTTATTTTAGCTACGGATAGAAACCGGAGAACCTGGAGGGAACTATAACAGAACCGAGAGAGAACATACAGGCTCCACAATGAAAGGTTCCCCAGTCAGGAGTTGAACCCAAGAACTTATTGCTGTGAGGCACAATTGTCACCAAGCTCCAGGTTCAGTAGGAGAGCCTCCAACCTCATTTTATAGAGTGAGCAGCAATTACCAAGTCATCAACATAAATAAAATATCGTTCATCAGTAGGGAGCCATCCATCAACCTCACCGAGACATCAATCAGCCTCCCACTGTATCTATACCAGATGTAAATTCCTCTGGTAAAGCCATTCATTCTCAAACTACGTGGTGAAGAAATGTTACATAGTGTAGGGGCCAGAGGACATCCCTGTTGTACCCCAAGGTAAAAATAAATGGCTACGACACCCAGAAAATGCAGCTTTGCCCGGGCCTGCCTACCATCATAAAGGTCCTTAATAATCGTGAGTGCTGGTCAGGGACTGCGAGAATATTAAAATGTGATTTTAAAAATGATTTGAAATAAAAGTTAATTTGAATACAACAGGCTGAATTAGAAAATATATTTTTCAAAATAATCTTAATTCAACTAAGATTTAACATGAAGTCGAATATTCAGTACATCCCGAAATACACACCTCAATAGTCACCACACACCCTCAATACCAGTGGCTGGACATGGGTTACAAACATTTGTCTTTATTATTACACAATTACATATGTGTACGAATGAAATTAAAAAAAAAATGTTTTAAGCAGCAATGCAGATATGAGCAGTGGATGAGTTCAGGTTTTTTTTTTAAATCGATTTGCATTTTTTCAAATCAGAATTTCAGATTTTCAGATCACATACGCTACGTACCGGTTAAACCTGAATTTTCTGCTGACAAAAGTGACGTCTCTCAATGGCAAAGCAGCACACCACGTGAGATGGGGAAAACCTTGCACGGGACGTCGGGAATGCGCCGTGACTTGCCCCGACGTCGTCACGTTTCCGGAAAAGGCCCAAAGAATGACGTTTTCCTGATCATCTGAAATTAGTTTTCTCGACGCGATATTTGGATTTTTATCTTTTTGTGCAGGTTATGCCGAAAATCAACAATACATCCCTAGCAGTCACCTAAATTAAACTAAACTGTATTGGCAGTGGTGCACGCAAGCACCATGAACAGAAACCTAACACTTTCATCATGACCAACACTGCCCTAAAAGTAAAATAACACATAACAGGCGACGTTTCGGGGAATGACCCTTGTTCATAGCAGACATTTATTACAATTATTATGATGACAACAAATGAGGGTGACGTTTCTCATCACAGCGTTTCCATAACAACGACACAGGGGATCAGTGAGCTCAGTGCTCCCACAATCCCCGTTCCAGAGTCAATTTACTCCTCGATAGCGAAACCGCCCACAGAGCAAGCAGCTCAGCCCTGAGTGCAACCACACGACCCCAGAGTCCCCGGGTGAGCTGCCCCTACCACCCTAGTCTCATCACCCCCCCACCCACATTGCCACCTGCTCCACACACACACATACACACAGGCCACTACGCATTCACACACACACACACACAAAAGACAAAGATACCCCTTTATAGCCTTGAACAGACTGTTGGAGCAAGTGTTGTTAGCGAGCATTTATGAAGGCTGCAACAGCACACGAGGGGGTGGGTGGGGAAAGCACCATGTTCGCCCCCCTTTGTCTCCCCAGTGGCGATGTTTACACACCACACAAGATACTCATTTGAGGCCGAGTGTGTGGAGGGGCAACACACACGCCACTCAACACAACACACAAACATACAATGACACTGTGATGTGTCATTGTATGTCAATTGTTGTGTCCGTATTCTATGATTTAATCTCTCCGTGTTGATGTTTGGGTCCTCCATTTGCGTCTCTTGTTTGCGTGTCGTTGACGTTGCGTCGGTGCTCTATGCTCGTGGCACTGCGTGTCGATATCTGTGTTCAAGGGTTGCGTCACTGTGTGATGAGGTTGAGTGCACCCCCCCCCCCCCACCGGAGTCCCTGAGTGCAGCCTAAAGAGAAGAGCTCCTGCCTAGCAGCCCTGCCCAATGGCCCCCACCCCACATTGCCGCCTGCTGCTGCTGCTACCGCCGAGAGAGAACGTGGAGGACGGTGGTCTGCTGCAGTGTAGGTCGTTGCCAAAAAGACAAATATCCCCCGTATAGCCTAAGCAGACTATTGGGACAAGTGCTGTGAGCGAGTAGCACCTATGAAGGCCGGCATGGCACACGATAGGGTGAGCGGACAGCACAACGTGCGGCCGCCTTTCTCTCGCTTAGTGGCGATGTTTACACATCGCACCAGGTACTCATTTGAGGCCGAGTCGACCTATGGGAGGCCCAGGATTGGTGCAGATAATTGTCACCGGTGTTGGCCAAACTCGGGTCCCCGGGTTAACCGCTGCACTACGGCGTCTCCCGCGCCACACACACATAGAAAAGTCTCACCACGCCACCCAAGATACTCCAAACACCATCATTACTCCCGTGTAGCATAAGCTGTTGGGGCGAGGGCATATAAACGCCAGCATGGCGCAGGAGGTGGTGTGGGCAGACCTGGCCGAATTTGTCTCCCCCAGTGCTGATATTTACACACCGCACCACGTACTAATGTAAGGCTGAGTAACACCTAGGAGAAGCCTGGAACCAGTTCAGATATTCATCCACTGGTGTTAGCCATGGCCAGGAATAGCACCTAGGACACCTAGTTCGTAGCGCAGAGCACCAACCCCTGCGCTACCACCACTCCTTACGGAGAAGATATTCCACACGCACGCACGGGCCAGACCACACACAAACGTTAGCCACTCCACACACACGCAGTCCACTCACCACGTACTTAAGCATGAGAGAGCGGCAAGGCCCCCCCCCCGCCCGACACACGGAGCAGGATTATAACACAAAGCAATGTAGCGACAGCACCGCCCGACCAGCTGAGCGACCTGCCCTTTACGTAAAGAACAATGGGCTGGGCAGCCCCCACCGCCCGCATGTTTGGGCCACATGAGGGTGGCTGTTGCTCCCGGTGGAGGTCGGCAACTGGTGTCGGCCTCGTGTCCACGCCGTCGTCTGTGTCGTGTCGAAATGCATGTGTGTCGTGCCGATGTGCGTGTGTGTGTCAGCCTCCGTGGATGAGGCTCGTGAAGGACGCTACTGGGCAGTTGGAGGCAGTCGCCCTCAAACAACAACGGAGGGCGGAGGAGCGACGCTCACAACAACGAGCGGACCGCCGGGTGGCTAAAGCACAGCAAGTTGGCACAGTAGGGGTCACAGGTGGTGCATCAGCCAGTCATCTCAGTCAGTCGACCCGTGACACCTGGGTCTGCCCCGTGACCTCCTGCCAGCGGGCGTTCGATACTTCACGTGGCCTCAAGGTGCACATAGCCTGGCACAAGCGTCGTGGTGACGTCACCGCCACTTAGTGGCGAATGGCGGTTGTTGTTGTGTCGCTGCGTTCTACGATGACGATCCATTCTCTAATTTTTGTATTTTACCAGGTAAACACCACTGAGCTATGTAGCTCTTTTTCATAAACGACCTGACAACAAACGACAGCTCAACGAAGTGGCTTATCACGTGAAAAATGACAGCAGCCAAAGACTCTGAACGCATGTTGATTCTAAATGTGGAGAGAAGAACCGGAGGACCCGGAGAAAAATCCACGTGACCAAGGGGAGAGAGAGAGACACGCAAACTCCAAATATACATGCATCAGAGTCGGGATCGAACCCACAACCTCCTCCATTCCAGGCAAGGGAGTTAACATTTTGCTACCGTGGCACCCCCATTACACGTCACTGTGGTGATGTCTGTGTCCTGTTGAATGCGTCACCCCGTGTGATGATAATTTGTCACCATGGTGTGTTGATGTTTGTGTCACCATGGTGTGTTGATGTTTGTGTCACCATGGCGTGTTGATGTTTGTGTCACCATGGTGTGTTGATGTTTGTGTCACCATGGTGTGTTGATGTTTGTGTCACCATGTTGTGTTGATGTTTGTGTCACCATGATGTGTTGATGTTTGTGTCACCATGGCGTGTTGATGTTTGTGTCACCATGGCGTGTTGATGTTTGTGCTCTGTGACTGTATCAGTGCGAAAGAAGTTCAACGTGATAAGCCACTTCTTTGAACTATCATTTGTGGTCAGGTCGCTCCTGAAAAAGAGCTGTATAGCTCAGTGGGCCTTACCTGCTAAAATAAAAAAATAGTTTCTAGTGAAAAATACGTTTTGTTTAATAATGTTCTATCACGGTGTCACTGTGATGATGATGATGGCTGTGTCACTGTGACGAGGATGATGGCTGTGTCACTGTGACGATGATGATGGCTGTGTCACTGTGATGATGATGATGGCTGTGTCACTGTGATGATGATGATGGCTGTGTCACTGTGATGATGATGATGGCTGTGTCACTGTGATGATGATGATGGCTGTGTCACTGTGATGATGATGATGGCTGTGTCACTGTGACGATGATGATGGCTGTGTCACTGTGACGATGATGATGGCTGTGACACTGTGATGATGATGGCTGTGACACTGTGATGATGATGTGATGATGGCTGTGTCACTGTGATGATGATGATGGCTGTGACACTGTGATGATGATGGCTGTGTCACTGTGATGATGATGGCTGTGACACCGTGATGATGATGATGATGGCTGTGTCACTGTGATGATGATGATGATGGCTGTGACACTGTGATGATGATGGCTGTGTCACTGTGATGATGATGGCTGTGTCACTGTGATGATGATGATGGCTGTGTCATTGTGATGATGATGATGGCTGTGTCATTGTGATGATGATGATGGCTGTCACTGTGATGATGATGATGATGATGGCTGTGACACTGTGATGATGATGGCTGTGACACTGTGATGATGATGATGGCTGTATCACTGTGATGATGATGATGGCTGTGACACTGTAATGATGATGATGGCTGTGACACTGTAATGATGATGATGGCTGTGTAACTGTAATGGTGATGATGGCTGTGTCACTGTGATGATGGTGATGGCTGTGACACTGTGATGATGATGGCTGTTGTGATGTCTTCTGTGGTGTGCGTCTCACCCAGGTAGATGTCACCAAAGGAACCGCTTCCGATCTTGCGCCCAAGGCGGTATTTGTTACCGACCCTGAGCTCCATGTCTCTTGTCTCCTACAGCGGAGACACGCGCACGGAGACAACACTGTGATGTGCCAAAAAGAAACGGAGGCAAGTGCACATAAACAGCAGCGAAATAATCACATATAAGCATACATATGACACAGACACACAAAAACACAGACACGCACGCTTAAGTTCCCACGAAAACAGACACACACAGCTTTTTACACCCAGACACACAGCCAAAAAACATATACAGAAACAGACACAAAAACAGACGCAAAGGCATAAAACACACAACTATACGGAACACAATAAAATACACACCCATTAATAGAGAGTAAAATTCACTCATGCAGAAACACACACACACATAAAGACAAGCATAATCACGGAATTACAAAATACACAAACACGCAGAATACACACACAAATATACCACGCAAAAACAAACGTATGAAGCGAGATATACACACACACACACGTCCACACACGCACACAAAGACACACAAAAACACACACGCCTACAAATACACACGAACACAAACACACACACACACCAAGGCACACAAACTCACGTAAACATCGACACAAATACACCCACTGGATATACAAAATTACACACACACAACAAGGCGCTCATCCGCGCAGACTCCATCACACACCGACGACGCTCGCACCGACACACAAACACGCGCTCGCCCTGACACTCAAACGCGACACCCTGACACACTCGCCGACGACACTCGCTGCTGACACGAGCCGTACACTCGCCGACAGTCGCTGCTGCTGCTGCTGTCACAGGGGAGGAAACCGGCTTCGTCTCTCCCCGTCTCCTTCACCGGTGGAGCATCGCGATTTTTTCACCGCAGATTTTCCTCACCTAAGTGCGTCGCGAGGAGGAAATATCCGCGTGGACGTGACCGTGGCACGGCGAGGGGCGTGCTCCGCGCGATCCGGGGCGGCTACTGCGGACGGCGGCGTCGCGATGCCACGGATTGCGCGGGGTCCATGGAGCGGGCGGCCCTCACGACGCCATTATTTACCTCCACTCCTGCGCGTGACGTCACGCGGAAGAACAATGCACGGGCCCGGATGCGGGAGACGTCACCATGGGCGACGGAGAGCCCTCGCGCGCGGGCGACGCGGTGACGTCATCACGTCGACGGCGCGCGCGCGACCCTGTCAATAGTGTTACGACGGAGCTCGCGACGTGGTTACGTCATCACGTAGAGAACGCACGCGACCCCTTGTATAGCGTCACCAGGACGACGGAGCCCGAATTCGCGACGTGGTTACGTCATCACGCCGAGGGCGCGCGCGACCCTATGGGTAGCGTCACCATGACGACGGAGCTCGAGCTCGCGACGTGGTTACGTCATCACGTAGAGAACGCACGCGACCCCTTGTATAGCGTCACCATGACGACGGAGCTCGAGCTCGCGACGTGGTTACGTCATCACGCCGTGGGCGCGCGCGACCCTCTGGATAGCGTCACCATGACGACGGAGCTCGAGCTCGCGACGTGGCTACGTCATCACGCAGAGAACGCGCGCGACCCTATGGGTAGCGTCACCATGACGACGGAGCTAGAGCTCGCGACGTGGTTACGTCATCACGCCGAGGGCGCGCGCGACCCTCTGGATAGCGTCACCTTGACGACGAAGCTCGAGCTCGCGACGTGGTTACGTCATCACGTAGAGAACGAGCGCGACCCAATGGGTAGCGTCACCATGATGACGGAGCTCGAGCTCGCGACGTGGTTACGTCATCACGCAGAGAACGCGCGCGACCCTATGGGTAGCATCACCATGACGACGGAGCTCGAGCTCGCGACGTGGCTACGTCATCACGCAGAGAACGCGCGCGACCCTATGGGTAGCATCACCATGACGACGGAGCTCGAGCTCACGACGTGGCTACGTCATCACGCAGAGAGCGCGCACGACTCTATGGATTGCGTCACCATGACGACGGAGCCCGAGCTCGCGACGTGGTTACGTCATCACGCCAACGGCACGCGACCTCTGGATAGCGTCACCAGGGCAAAGGAGCTCGGGCTCGCAACCGATCGACGTGACTTTACCGAAAGACCCAAGTGTATGTGGTGATGTCATCACGTCGACGTGGTTACGTCATCACGCAGAGAATGCACGCGAACCTCTGGGGGCAGCGTCACCACGGCGACGGAGCTCGTGCTCGCGACCCGGTGACGTCATCACGCCGGCTGCGCGTGACGTCACTTCCTGACGGCCGCCGCTCCACCCGCGTGGTAATTTGACTGCTACCGTGTGATGCGCTCTGTCGTCCTTTTTGTCAGCCGTGGTCGATCCGCTGCTGTGATAATCCACCTCCGGCAACCTGCACCTGAACAGGTTTTATCGCTCCCCTCTCCCCGGTTTACATCGCACTCTGGGGACTCGTTCCTTTCCATGGTTGCCGCGCCGTTATTGTTCTTGTACAGTAATGACTACATTGGTCATTCTATCGTGCGGGTGGCCCCGCCACGGTAATTTGGAATGTCCACCCTGGCGCGTGTTTCTTAATGGAGGTGAGTTAGGCTTGCGAGGGCCGCTCACGCTCCGTGTTTTAAAGATCTCTCGGCCTTTCCAAACCAAATGTCACCCAGCAGCATCAGCTGATGTAAGCCAGCAGCGTCTGTTCTGTTTTAATTTCAAGTGTATTTGTTTTAACCAGCTGAGAACTCTTAACAGAGACCAGGATAGCCCGTCTCATTTGCAAGAGTGACCCGGGTCACTTGAATATTTGCTGTACGGATGTTGAACTTCTTTCGCACCGTACGTCGCCAATCGAGCCAATGGGGTGCGAGATAACAAACGAAAAACAAAAGTAAGTTCATATTCTTTGGGTCTTTAGGTAAAGTCAACGTAGAACAAAAAATTTGACAAACTACTTTTGATCGCAACACAAGCAATCCCTCCTGATGACGATTGCTTGTGTTGCGATCGAAACGTAGATTTATAAAAAATAAATTGTTCGACGTGACTTTGCCGAAAGACCCAAAGAATATGAATTCCTGCAGTCACGAAAGCTTTAAGTCAAGACAAAAGGAAGTTTATGAAAAAATTCGTTTTAAACCTAGATTTAAAAGTGCATATAGCACCAGTGGCTTCCAAACATCGCAAGAACGTTCCAGACGGCCGCAGAAGCGCATCTTGAAAGCGCGCGACGCGGTGACCGCCTTCTTTGTTATTTTATGCCATGTGGAGTCGAGTCTTTGTCGCGTGTTTTTCTCCCTGCAGTTCTCCGGTCCACTCCATGGCCTCCGAGGCCGCTGTCCGCTCCCGCAAGGCGAGCGCCGTGGTGGGCGGCGTGCACACGGACGCGCTCTGCTGCGCATTCGCGGACCGCGTCCTCGTCCTGGTGACGCAGCGGCCGCGTCTGGGCCTCGTCGTGAGCCTCACGGCAATGGACGGGCCTCCGGGATCATCGGAGTCGCCGGCACCGCAGGGGACACAAGGGATACCACCCCCGAGCTGTGACTCGCGTGTACTGCTCGGCAAAGACGAGGTGAGCAAACCACGCACCGCGGTCGGTGCCGTTCTCAAGGGCGGCGGCGGCGGCGCCTCCACTCTCCAGCCCGTGCCGCTCACCGTTCCATCTCTGGGCGCCGTGTTCCTCCACCCCACTCCCCCCCGCAGCCTATGAGCCACGTGTGCGCGCGGAACGTGGCGGGGCACGTGAGCCGCGAGGCCGGGGGGCGGCCCGTGCTGCTGGCGCTCTCCCTGAGCGGCGACGTCACCCCTGAGTTGGTGCGCTCTCTCCGCGCCATGGTGGACACGTGCCGGGTGTGGTGACGACGACGACGACTTCCATCGGCGAGGGTTGAACTGGAGAATGGGCATAGCGAGGGTAACTCGGGGAAACACGGATTCACGCGAGGTTGAATTTCGTCCCAGATCTGTTGGATCCTACCGTAACTGCAAGTCCCGTGCTGTGGAGTCAGACACGCGGTTGTGACTCAAGACGCTGTCACGCGGGGGCTAAGTGAGCATCATGTTGGGTGTGTGTGGGAGGGTGCGGCGTTGTAATTGGTGAATATTGCACGGGGGATTGAGTCTTTCTGGCCTTGTGTCACAGGCTGACTTACTACAATTACTCGGGGTTGACGTTCACCATCTCTCACCGTCCAGCCAGTCCATGCGTAACGTTCTTGCGACAACGTTCACCGATGCGAATTAAGATTTCAAGAGGCAAAATGCACGACTCGATGTAATAGAGCAGCAATGCTGAGTAAAGTCGCGTCCACATCCACGCGATCAGTTATGCAACCAAATCGCTGTCAACATCATGCAACGTATTCGCCTGAAACTGCCTTGTCCACATCTGACCGAGTAGTCAGTCATGCAACAAGGAAATTAAACCGCGTTTTCAAGATTGCAATTAACCCTAGTTCGCAAGTGTGCACGTGATGAAATACGTCGCTACAAATTTCTCAGCAGATCAATGCTTGAAAATGGAGTGTCTCTAGGGCAAGCAACCAGTTGCGTAACCAATTTCTCAGGTTCATGGCTGGCTTAAAGATTATTGATGACACTGGGAGCAGTGCAAGGAATCGCATATCAACCTCTTCTCCACGTAGCCCGTGCTGTAGCTGCCCACTCGCAACTCGACACCTGCGTCATGTCACCTTGTCTCACACGTGCAATTACAAAGTCCTGAACTTTGTTTTCACACCAAATTGACAAAAGGTTAATGATATCAGGCATTTCGACTGTTTGTTTACTTGTAATGCTTTGTGGGCCAGGTTACACTTTGTAAGTGACTTTTGGTCTCGGTGAGCCCTCGGTTTAAATAAAGAATGTTTGTATTAAAAATGTATAAGACAAATATGTTACGTGTGGTAGATGGAAACGTTCACAAATCATGCCTCGGTGAGCTTCTGGCAGATGGCGTAGTCCCAGAGCTCGCTGCAGAATGCACCCCGCTCGCCTTACAGCAGCGACTCGCCTACACTCCCATACCACGGGTGCAGCGAATATACTCTAAAATCTTGACTTAAAGCTTTCGTGACTGCAGAAATTAATATTCTTTGGGTCTTTCGGTAAAGTCACGTAGATAGGTTCAAACTATATATATCTTAACTTTGGAGCTTTCGTGACTTCAGGAATTATTCTTTGGTTCTTTCTTTGAAATTTTCACACTTAAATTCTATTTCGATTTAAAGCTTTCGTGACTGCAGGGATTCATCTTCTTGGTTCTTTCGGTAAAGTCACGTAGAAGGGAAGTAATAAAATAATAAAAATAAAACATATTATTATGTTTTATTATGTTTTATTTTTATTATTTTATTACTTCCCTTCTACGTGACTTTACCGAAAGAACCATGTAAATAAAATAATAAAAATAAAACATATTATTATGTTTTATTATGTTTTATTTTTATTATTTTATTACTTCCCTTCTACGTGACTTTACCGAAAGAACCAAGAAGACTTAAATTCTAACTTAGCAATCTTTGAAATACGTAATCGACCAGGCTATGCGTTGTGTGTTGACCGACTCTCTGTGTCGTTTTACATAACATTTCGATACTTTGCTAGGTTATTTAATTTTAGTGTCTCTTTCTCCCCCTAAGCCTGCTCACTCCTTTTTGTTGTACTCATTGACATGTAAATTTTGTCTCTAACCCCTCCCTCTCGCTGCCTCCGCCCCCCTCTGTCTATTTAAGGCCACCCCACAGAGACGATCACCCCTCTCTGTACCTGTGTTGCCCGCTGTGTGTATCTTGGTGATATCTGTCTGCTTATGTCTGTCTATAATTTTTTCTGGTTATATTTTATGTCGCTATTTCATTATACCTGATGATTGCTTGTGTTGCAATCGAAACGTCGTATGTTATTATTTAATTCATTATTTTTTCTTTATACGTGACTTTACCGAAAGAACCAAAGAATATATATATACTTTAAAATTGTTAAACTTGTATTCGTAAAATTTCATTGTTTAAAATAATTAACGTGTACTAAGATCATAGGTTTCTCTGCTGCAAATAAGGATTCCAATGAGCCCCCTTAGGTTAAATAAAATGACAGATAATTAAATCCATGACAAAGCATATGCAAAGCACTTCATCAGAGTGGTTAATATTTTATTTATAACTTCAAGCGTTAGATTAAATGCACTTTGTGGGATTAAAAATGCAAAGTAAAGCAGTTGTTAATTTTAACAATGGAAGTGACGGTTTTCGTAAGTGCAAGTGCACGGCACAGTGTGGCATGCATCAGTTCCTTCCAGAGGTTCTGGTTCTGTGCCTTCCAAGCGGATTTACACAGCCATAGTCACAACTATGGTTCTAGATCTAGTCTCAGTTCCAGATGCTCTCCCATGTGCTGATCCTGTTTCACATTCAGTTCCAAATCCAAATTAAGTCCTCATGTTTTTTGTTCCAGCCGAATTGTTGTTCCAATTATTCCTTTATATCCGGAAGTGGTTCCAGTTTTGGCTTCTCTTCCAGCTCAACTTCCATTTCTGGCTCCAGCAGAGGTTCTGAATCGCAACGAGCTTCCGGTTGTGGATGTTGTTCCAGTTGTGGTTGTTCAGGACATGCTTGTTCCAGTTGTTGTTCCAAAGGCAACTGATCTAATTGCACCCGTTCTAGCTGTTGTTCGACTGGTTCTGGTTGTGAGTGGGTTTGTTCCTGCAGTGGTTCTAATTCAGATTGTGGCTGCTCCAGGTGTTGTTCGGAAGGCAGATCTGGTTTTGGATCTGGGTCTACGGGTTCCTGTTCTGATTGTGGTAGTGGTAGTGACTGCTCTGTTTGCTGCAGTGCTTGCAGTGGTTGTTGTGCTTCTTGTTGACATGATTCCATTGGTGGTTCTTGTAGCTGCTGCTGCTTCTGTTGGAGCGATAGCGAGCGAGCTTCGGACAGGAGCCTCCTGACGGCCGCCATGAAGGGCCCCACCTCACTTGTGTGGTCGACCGTGAGCGACACGACACGGCGCTCACTCTCAGTCCATGCGCTCGCTCGCAAATCTGGCACGAACACAGAGACGAGTGGAGACAAACGTAAAGGAGCGGGAAAATATGACTAACTGTAACTTTGTATTTAACAAGGTAATGCCCGCTGAGCTATATAGTTATTTTTCATAAGCCACCTGGCCACAAATGATAGTTCAACTAAGTGGCGTATCATGTGGAAATTTATAGCAGCCAAATACTCTAAAGACATGTTATTAAATGTGGAGGGAAAAACCAGAGGACCTGGAGAAAAATCCACACCACCACGGGAAGAGACACACAAACTTGAAATATAGAGGCGTCAGGGTTGGGATCGAACCCAGGACCTATATACCAGGCGAGGCAGTTAACATCTCGCCAATGCGGTGCCCCAATGGGAATAGGCAGAGGCACACAAATTACTCATGGGAACAAGTAAGAACACACAAAAACACGGCGACCTAGAAAAGCATATCATAGACATGATCACAACCATGAAGGTTATGGATGGTCATTTTGAGGTTAATGGCGATAGCTATGGTGTTGGCATTACCGTTTGCTAGCATTCCAAGCCGTCTCTTGACCAAGTCACTCAGTTTCCCAGAATTCCAGGCCTCTCGCAGCAATTCCAGCTTGCGACCGATGTCATCGCATATGCGGCCCTGCAAGCATAACACACCAACATGTATAGGCAGACCTATAGCAATGCGTTGTTGGTAAACGCAGCACGATACGAAACAGCGCTATTGGAGGCAGCGCAATAAGAGGTTGAGGTTTGCCTGTATATGACATTTATGAGAATACTATTGAGAAAAGTGCTACTTATGAGCTTATTCTAAAAAGACGGGCATAATACACTGGTAGCACCAATGCACAAGCATCAAATAGCTGACTAACAACACGTAGCTCTGTTAAGGTTAGTCTTGTTGCCCTCTTCGAAGATGCCTGGCCAGTGTCAAAGGATAGGCCAAAATACCCTCGGGAGGAGGTTTCTAGAGCTCCCGCTAGTGGAGGCTCTTCTGCCTGCAGTCGTATATATTAGTAATTGCAGGGCTGCACCTTTTTTATGAGCATCCTGCAAGTTTAGCGAGGCACATGGGGGAGGTTGGTTGGTGGTGGGTGCAAGCACCATGTACACCTTTATTACAAACCCGGTACTATCGGCTGCATATCCGGTACGCCGAGAGGTGGCTCACCTGAACGTGGCCACGGCACCCTATCAGTAGGGAGGTGAGCGTCTCCAGCACCACCTCCACACTGGGCTCCTCCTGGGTCACGGACGCAGAGGTCTCAGGGGTGGGTGGTGCAAGAGGTGGGGTCACGCTGGGGGGTGGGGCCACGCTGGGGGGTGGGGCCACGCTGGGGGGTGGGGCCACGCTGGAGGGCGGGGCGCTTGCTGGGGTCAGAGACACCTGGGGTGATGTAATGGTGGAGGTGGTTCCCCCTGAAAGGAAAAGCACTCGTTAACTCTCGATTCTCCCTTTTACTTCGCTCCTCGTTTCACTCTCCCACCCACTTATACCACACGCGCCGTTCACATATCCGACACGTCCTCACTCTTCATCAATCTGCTCACTATGACCCCCGATATATATCTTCTCTCTTCCATTTCTGACCTGTTTAAATCTTTAACATCCTCCTGCTGCCCTTTCTCCCCATCGGTCTCTTTTCCTTTATGAAGTCCTTGGCATTTCTAACTTCTCTTTGTCCTCCACCCTTCTCTATTACCCTAACCCCGTCTTGTCAACGTCTTCATAAATTTTTTTGCACAAACCATTTGTTGTATGTAGGCATTTCTATGGATATCTATTGTCTGCTTATCTATTGTGTTACTTACCGTATGCTCTCCACAACGCTAATTATGATTTCGTCTCAACTTTTATTTACATTGTGCCCATAATATAACATGTCGCAGACTAAAGATTTTTAGCCTTGTAAACACATTAAAGGTATCAATCTCGATTTACTAAATCGAATTTCTGCGTTAAAGAAATTTCATACCACACGGCACGCGCAATGAGTTATTCCAACATGCAGATCTTTTGGTGCGTTTTCTGAAAAAGTTGAATTTTGTTTGAAATTAATAAATATTCAATAGTTTTATATTTGTTCCTAATTATATTTGTATTGTGAAAACTGTAATAGGTGTATGTCGTTTAGGTTAGGGATAGAGTTGGAATGACTGTCCGAAACACATCCCTTATGTTCTGTATTCAATTAATAGGAAAAAAAGCTATTCCCATTTACGAAATTTCGTTTTACGCCTGCTTTTTTGGAGAACGCATCGCTTTTCGTGAATCGAGCGATATCTGTACCGTTGTGTGTAGGTTATCGATGTTGTGAGATGAGCACCTGTGAGTTGAGGGGGAGGAACGCGCTTGGTGAGGGGGGTTCCCCCTCGCCGCGTCGCATTCTGGGTGCAGAATGAGAATACTGGGGGGTCGTTCCAGCCGCGATCCAGGTTCCCTGTATTGGGGACACACATGGGCAGGGGGGAGGAACGCAGTGTGTCATGTGAGGGTGGTTTGGGGGTTACATGGAAGGGTGAGGAACACGGGTACAAAAATACAAAGATCCCCCATATTGCCTTAGGCTGTTGAGGCAAGTGCTGTTAGCGAGCACCTATGATGACCGGCACGGCACACCCACACGGGGGTGGGTGGCAAGTACCAAGCCCTAATACCCTTGCTTCCCCAGTGCTGATGTGTTTACACACAACACCAGGTACTTATTTGAGGTCAAAGTCGACCTCGGGGGTGCCCGGGTTCGGTTCAGATAATCGACACTGGCGTTAGCCGTGAGCGGGATTCAAACTCGGGTCGCCGGGTTCGTAGCGCAGCGGGATCAACCGTGACACTACCACTCCTGCACACGGGTACACGGAGACATAGACACGAACAGTCGCGGAAACACGTACATTAAGACAGCAAGCACATTCATACGTGCACATAACACAACATCGGTGTATCATCGGCTATGTAGCATGTCAGCAAGCGCAAAGCGGGGCCGGTACTACTCGACTCAAACGAGTCCCCCTCGTGTTTATGGAGGCGTCGTTAACACACGGAACTCCGTGTCACTGAACTTCCCACGCAGCTCTGCGGAGTATGCCCTCTGTTAGTGAACACATCGGCCACATCACCGCGTCCGGTACTGCGGGTTCCGGCCGCGGCGCCGACGCCCTGCCCGGCAGGGGCATCAGGCCAAACGGTAGGCTTCGACATCAAGCTAGGCCCGAAAAGCCGGCTTTTC